GGATGAGGCTCAGTGAAGGAGGACATAAATGTTCAGTAGGTCCTATAAAGAGTCTAACACGACATTAATTATTCGAGGTCGAGAGTACTTGTAGGTATCGCTAAACTTGATTGTATGGTTGTGAATTTGGTTATGGACTTCTCAATTTGTCTTTATGTCGAGATGTGTGTTTTGTATCAAATGTGCACTTGATATGATAAAGTATATGAAATGTAATTTCGTAGGTTGAATGAAGAAGAACTTGAGGCGAATTCACGATCGGACTAAAAAAAATTTCAAGCCGAACTATATGTAAAAAACTAAAATAAAATTTGTGAAAATTACAGGAAAACATGAATTTAAAACGTGTACAAAAATCAGGTGATAAATTTATATTTCAATAATAATAATATTATTATTATTAAATTAATTTATATATTCACACTCTACCCCATCTACCACATTCAAATCCTAAATTATTTTCTCCATCTTCTTCCCCTCCCTTCTCTCTTCCGCTCCCATCTTTCTCTACCCTCTCTTCACACATGGACGGTCGTCGTCATTGGAGATAACTATGGGGATTGTCACTGTTAGCAATAACGTGACGTTCACAACAAATGCCTCCGAGCGTTGCTGTTCGTTAAAATCCTGCAAGCGTACGGGTTCGTTGTACAAGTAATAATTGTGATGAAAGAGTTGTCGTCCTACAGGGAATAAGGTCTAATTCCAGTGTATTCGATATAATTAAATTCGTGAAATTAATTAAAAGTTGACGTTTGTTTGAATAGCTAATTAAGTTTTATAACTAAAAATTTGCAAAATTTATGAGAATTTGTTTTAGAGTTTAAATGAGTGAATGTATTGGATTTCCGACGCCACTGATCAACTCTTAGTTCTAATTCTCGACCTATGACAATTATTTCAACTCATGTAATTGTGACGATCGATAATTCCACAGATATTTATTATTCTTTCCCAAGATATAATAAACCTGTGATTACCACGAAACGATCATATTCCTAGTCCGAATTCATATGACAAACACACATTGATGTATAGGATTATCACACATGATCGCACACGTCACAAATATTATTCCTAACATTCATTGTTCATGCGTTCCAATAACAGTGTTCTACCTACCGTGAGTTTTCCAACACTATGAATAAGTAACTTATTGTCCTAATGGTGCGCAAACATTAAAACAATATAGATATGTATATTAAAGAAACCACAACACAAGAAATAAAATAAAAACATAAGGTCTTAAATTAAAAACTAGGAGTCAAAAAGTTTTGTCATCCATTCAATACAAAGATGTCTAACCTAGCATATTAATATATGAAAAATAGGAAAAATAAAGGAACGACATCACCCGAATCATTAAAGTATGAAAAGAATCTGAAATCCTCCACTTTATGCCTTCAATTCCGGATCCAAGTGATGGAGCCTTCTTCTTCAATGTATATCCCACTATCTTTTTCCTCTTTGTCGGCTTCCAAGATGATAAAAATTAGGTTCCCAATGTTTTTGTCGACTTTTGGTATAAATATCGTGTAAAGAATTGTAAACCAAGACTTTCCAAAACAAAATAAGGAAACATAATTTTTTTGTCAGAATTGAACCATGCGTACGCATAGTACATTTTGGTGCGTACACATAGTATCATCAATTTACCATGAGTTTTCCAACACTACGAATAAATAAATTATTGTCCTAATGGTGCGCAAACATTAAAACAATATAGATATGCATATTAAAGAAACCACAACACAAGAATTAAAATAAAAACATAAGGTCTTGAATTAACACCTAGGAGTCAAAAAGTTTTGTCATCCATCCAATACAAAGATGTCTAGCCTAGCATATTAATATATGAAAAATAGGAAAAATAAAGGAACGACACCACCCGAATCATTAAAGTATAAAAAAAATCTGAAATCTTTCACTTTATGCCTTCAATTCCGGATCCAAGTGATGGAGCCTTCTTCTTCAATGTATATCCCGCTGTTCTTTTCCTCTTTGTCGGCTTCCAAGATGATAAAAATTTGGTTCCCCATGTGTTTTGTCGACTTTTGGTATAAATATCGTGCAAAGAATTGTAAATCAAGACTTTCCAAAACAAAATAAGAAAACAGAATTTTTTGTCGGAATTGAACCATGCGTACACATAGTACATTTTGGTGCGTACGCATAGTATCATCAATTTAGCTTCGGAAGTCAAATTTTCCAATCGTGCATACGCACAACCTGTAAGCCTGTGCGTACGCATAGTTCAACTATTTTAGGGGCCAATTTGCAATTTGCTCCCTAAACTTTTTGAAGTGTGTTTTGGTCATTTCCCAAAATTTCTTGTCCCATTAGCTTCTCTTCAACTCCAATTGACTCTTGGTGTTCTCAACTCATCGTTCTTTGATCCAATTCAACTTTTGGATTATTGCATTCTAGTCCCCAAACTTTGCCTTGATGTAATTGAGTCATTTTTCATGCTTATTTTCTTTATTCTCGTATCTGATCTTCCATTAATTGTAACCTACACACAATATATAAATAGGATTAAGCCATATTCCATCAAATTCTTTAACAAATACTCAATTTTGCCTAAATAAGTGTATAAAATACACTTATCAGTTGATGTACAGCAGTGCTTCGCTATGAGCGTCGTTGCACAACAGCACTCACAATGTCGCTCGTAGTAGAGAAGTCACATACAGTAGTGTCAAACGTCACCGTGTGCGATGGCCTCGCATAGAGCAGCATCGCTGCAGTGGCTTCTCTGTGTAGTGTTGCAACAGTGCGATCAACAATAATTCGTTTTTTTGTTGTTGGAGTGGTGGTGGTGGTGGTTTCCATGTTTTGATTCTTACTAGGGTTTTTGTGGTGGTGCCTACAGCACAGCTAGCATTTATCGATGGTTATGTTGATTTTTATGTTGTTGTTGAAATGGTGGTGGTGATAGTGGTGGTGGCTTCCATGTTTTGTGCTATTGAGGTTTTGTAATAGTGTAAGTGGTGAATTTGGTGGCGGTGGTGGTGAGGTACTGGTGATGATGGTGGCCACAAATTGTAGCAGTGGGTATGACATGGTGTTTTGTTTGGGTGGGAGTAGGATAAAGTGTGTTTGTAACTAAATACTTAGGGGTTTGTGATCAACTATTTGGTTGATTTGTGACCAAATATTGGTATCGACAGTGGAATTAGGGGTTAGGTTGGGGTGTTTGTTGTTTTTGATCAACTACTTGGTTAATTTGTGAGCAACTATTTAGTATGTAATCTAATAATTCAATAATTTGTGACTGAAAAACAACTCGCGACTAACTAATTTGATAATTTATGACCATGAAATAAACTGTAACATATAAATTGATGATTTGTGATCAATAGATAAATTGTGACTTATAAAATTTTTGATTTGTGATTGCGAAATAATTTGTTAATATTTGACCAATAAATAAGTTGCAACCTATAAGCATACAATCGTGATAATAAATTATATAATTATGACATTAATATATTTAATATATTAAATTATTTATTAATCACTAGAGTTTTGAAATTGTATGCTTGTTCTCTTAAAATTAAATTGGCCCACTTAAAGCCTGATACATGAATTTTTCTCATAAAAATTTACACAAAATTTATTTTACATACAATTTTTATTTACCCATCAAAATGAAATGGGCTCAGTCAAGTCCCTACTACATCCGTCCCCTAAATAGAACTACTCTGATAGTCTACTTACGTCGAAAGATCTCGAGTAAAACTTCGTAACAAATACAAAATCTCATATTGTCTATGCAAATTATTTCGATCAGAATGTGGCTAGTTGGCCCCAAGAAGAAGAGATATTGGGACAATTATTTGAGCCCATTTTATGTTAAAATGAATTTTGTAATAGTGATTAGACAATGTGAGATTAAAAAATAAGAAAAAAAAATGTTAAATTTATCTACAAATTATTTTATTATTAAAATGTGAAATTGAAAATGAATATTAGAAAAAATGAATTATTGGATAATGGTATGGCTCTACCTTTCTTAAGTATATTTTGAGTGAGTTTATTTTAATATTGATTTCAGTGATATTGTTTTACTATTTGTTCAGTGTTTAGGCTGGAGATGCCTATACTTCATACCCTGCACAAAAGAAACCCAACACAATCTTCGAGGCAATGCCTTTCCTCTCACCTATGTGAATTCATTTTAAGGCGTTTACCGGCAAATTTTGGGGAAAATAATAATAATAAATAAATAAAATTGCAATTTTAGTCCGCAACCTATGATTCTAGCTGAAAGTTAATAGCAATTTGTTAATAAATTGCATTTATTTGGAAATCTTTCCTTATTATTCAATTAAATGCATTCTTTTTAGCCAAAAAAAGGGACTTAAACAGGCGCTTTGTCATGATTTGATGAGATTTTTGATGTGAATATGTAACACGAGGTTGGGGATTTGAATGGTAGTGATTTTGCTAATTTGTAGGATAACGGGGAGATAAATTAAGGTAGATGAGGCGTTATGGGACTGTTAAATGGGATGGGTTGCTTCATGTTGTGGAGGCGGATAGATGTGGATTTAAAATAAGTTAACAATCACGATGACGCCAAAGATAGGAGACTCGATATAGATGATCTCGTTCTTTCTCTATTTTTTTTACTAGAACACTAGAAATAATTATCTTTTTGATAAAATATTAACTAATTGATAAATAGACTAAACATGTCGAGTAGAGAACAATGGCAATACAAACCTGAACAGCTTTACAAAATTCCAACTCCGACTATGAACGAAATTGTGAAAGAGAAAAAGGATGGAAGTAAATATGCAAGTTGAGGAATTAGATGGGTACCAACGCCACAATTTTCTCTAAAATATATATATGTAGAATAAACTTAACGATAATTTTATTAAAAAAAAAAAATAATAATAATAATAGTAGAGAGAGAGAGAGAGAGAGAGAGTTGTGCCCATATAATAACCAATAAAATATAAATAATCTGGTTATGTTGTCGTTCATACCGCAATACGCACAGCAGCAGCAAAGCTCCGTTTCGACCCCACCCTTTCGTCCTCTTCCCTAGTGTTGCCCCAATCACCATACAATCACCACTGCCAACTCTGCAGTGTATCCTTTTTACCTCAGAATATACAAACAAACTCTCAAACAGAAGTCACCATTATTTTGCATAATCCCAAAAAAATACTACAAACTCTTCTCTCCAATTATTATTTTTTAATCTTTTCCAGCATTCACTTCTGCTTAAAGATTAAAATAAGAGTTAGCTAGCAGCATATCCTACATGGATCTCTTCTTTATTTCTTCTTCATTCCATGTTCCAAGTCTCTGCGTTTTCTTTATCCTTTTCTTTGGAGGTTTGTGTTTCATTTTTCTCTTGAACATGCAATTCTTGTTTTTTGGAAGCAAATAATGTGGTTTGTGATATGGGTTTTTGAATTTTTATTGTTTGGCAGGTGCATTGGGGGCTACATTTACATTTATGAACAAATGTGAGTACACAGTATGGCCAGGGATACTAGCAAATGCCGGCAGTCCTAGTCTCGACAGCACTGGATTCGAGCTCCCTCAGGACTCTTCCCGGACCTTCAATGTTCCTACGGGGTGGTCGGGCCGGATGTGGGGAAGATCTGGGTGCACATTCGACGGATCCGGATCAGGTTCTTGCACTACTGCGGATTGTGGGTCGGGTCAAGTGGAATGCAATGGCGCCGGTGCATCCCCTCCAGCCACTCTAGCAGAGTTCACCCTCGGCACCGGGGGACAGGACTTCTACGACGTCAGCTTAGTTGATGGGTACAATTTGCCCATGATAGTTGAGGCTTCAGGCGGGTCGGGTTTGTGTGCTTCAACGGGATGCGTCACGGATCTGAACCGGGTTTGTCCAAGTGAACTGCGAGTAGGTGGAGGGGAAGCTTGTAAGAGTGCGTGTGAAGCTTTTGGGACTCCAGAGTATTGCTGCAGCGGCGCGTTTAACTCACCAGCCGCCTGCAAGCCGTCTGTTTATGCTCAGATGTTCAAATCTGCTTGTCCAAGATCCTATAGCTACGCTTATGATGATCCTACCAGCACTTTCACTTGCTCTGGTGCTGATTATACTGTAACCTTTTGCCCCTCCACGCCTAGGTAAAAAAAATTCTCATTTTTACTTGGTTCTTTTTACCTCACTGGCAACATAGCTTGGTTCTTTTTACTTCTCATTTCTCTTTCACTTTCTTCTCGGGTTTCAGCATTCTTTTCTCTGTTTCAATATTAATGGCTGTGCATATTTTCTCTTAATTTTGGTAAGTGCAGTCAAAAATCTTCAAAAGATCCAACACCAACACCGACACCAACAATGACAGCACCAGTAACAACTGCCGATGGATCTATATCTGGGACAGGTACAAGTGGCTCGGATGGATCCGAAACAGGATCCGGATTGGGGGTGACGGGGGCGGATCCCGGTTCAGAATCTAGCTTGGGATCTCAAGCTATGCTTACAGATGGATCGTGGTTAGCTGGTTTGGCAATGGGAGACTCAACTAGAATTTACTCTTCATACTCTGCCTCAATTGCCTTAGCTTTTTTCACCCTCTCCATTCTTTCTTTGTAGTCTCTCCACACGAGGCTGTCTTGAAGGGAATGAGGTTTTTTTTTGGCTTTTTTCGTAGAAAATTAGAATGATTTGTAACATGAAGGTCACCTTGTCACTATTTTCTATATGTTCTACTTTTCTTCAAGTTCTTGAATTTTGTATATAATGTTCTTCTGGTAATGTTATCAATTTCTTAATTACTGCATTGGATTCTCTGTTTGTTTCGTGCACTTCGAACAAATCCATAAACAAGTGTTAATACTCAAAAAATAATGAAAAGGGTTTGCGAGTCTAATTCCTAATGGGAATAGGAGAGTAAAATTATGGGCTAATTGTCTGGAAAAAAGGTTGCCTTTTGCGGAAAATTGCAAGCACGGCTTTTGAACTTGTCTGCTATGGCTTTCTTGGACATCAGATGCTAATATTACATGATTCACGGCAAAAGTGCGAGTGAAAACTGTTCTAGTGAGGTCATAAATGGAAGATCCAGGTTTAAATTATACACATGATTCTGATCATGACATTCGTAGCATCATTACTAGATAATGTTTCTAATTTGTCAAAGAAACTCTCATAAAGGGTAAGAATATCGGACTTTTCTTCGATCACACTTCCCTACCAAACTTAGTGGATTCCTTTCACAATAGCCTACAATATCATAACGCAATTTATGAGGATTAGATAGTATTTTCAGCAGTATAACTTTTCATACCATTAAAAAATAGCTTAAAAAAAGCTGATTCTTTTAAGCAATACCAAATATGCTCATGCACAAGTTTGCAAGGATAAAGATGCGGAACCTTTGAAGAAACTAGCTCAAAGATTCCATTAACATCCATGATAATCCTTTTCTCAGCTATGAATCATAGAACCCTGCTATCGCCTTAGTATGTAACACTCATTTTTCAGTTCTCTTTGAGAGTTATATAAACTGTCTTGACGGTCAGAAGTTACACAAATTGAAAACTTGGCACATGCTCAGTGCCTGCACGCAAATAAATTAACTATGCACAAGTAGCAAAGAGATGATTGTTCTTTCATGCTGTTTGCTTAACCATAAAATGCGCGAACTAGAAAGAATTCTTGGCAGAAAAAGAAACAGGACATGGTAAAATAAATGCTATAGTCACCGATGATAATCAAGTGCAAGGTTAATCTGCTACTTTGTCTTTTTAAGAATTCATGTAGAGATAGAACTATGTACTTCGCTATTGTCACCACATTTCAGGCTGAAAACACATAATTACATGTTAAAACTTGAGATCTCATCGCGTCGTCAGAGCAAGAATGATGATTCCACAGTTTTCAACCCATAAGAACCCAAAGAAGCTGTATGAATAATGTTCACCTGTTTCCAGTTTTCCAATCTACTAAAAGCTTGTGAAAGATGTTTCAAGCAAGGTGGTCGTAGTTATTACCTGCTATGTACATTTGGCTGTCCAATACATTATTCCAGTGAAGAGCCTGTCTTGTAACTTCTCCCAGATGGAGAACTTCTATAGTAAATGGAATATATCGAATTGTGATCAATCAAATATTGCAAAGCCCCGGTATTTATTACCGATCAGAATTGGAAATCATAAATAATCTAGTAATTCGAATCATAATTAGAATCATAAGATAAGAGTTAAGGCGATTATTTCAGATTGATCGGAACAAGTAGATGTAGCAAATAAATAGAATTGGGCTTTCTTTTGCCGCATTTCGCTCAAAGGGTTGAAGGGATATAGTGCATCAAGCTGTTCGCAAGAACTCTTGAATGGAAATGGAAAAGAGATGTAACTCCAATTCCTTCGGAATCGCTAGTCAATCCTATTTCCGATAGGGGCAGTTGACAATTTAATCCGATTTTGACCATTATTTTCATATCCGTAATAGTGCAAAAAGAAGGCTCTAACTAATTGTCCACCCTTTCCAAGTGTGATTTCTATGTTATGTATGGCCGTGCCTAAGGGCATATCGGTTGAAGTAGATTCTTCTTTTTGATCAATCAAAACCCCTTGGGAGAACCAAAAGGAAGTTCGGTTTCCATTCCCAAAACTGTTAAAAAACAAAAATCATCACTTCGCTATCGGTCACCCAGGAGTATTTAGCCTTGCAAGGTGGTCCTTATTGATTCACACGGGATTCCACGTGTCCCATGCTACTCGGGTCAGAGCGTAAGTTAGTGATGCTTTCGGCTACTGGACTTTCGCCATCTAGGGTGCAGCACTGGACCTTAAAAATTTTGAATTTTTATTTTAAGAAGATTGGAGTTCAATCAAAATAGAGTAAATAACCATGTTTTGGAAGATGTTGTTGAAAAGTCAAAAGCTGCTTTTGAACATAATTCTTTAGAACTACTTTGTGTGGCTAGAAGATCTTCCCGATGAAGCAGGCCTAAGGTAGCTGTGAGGTGCTGGAGATCACGTTGGTGAATGGACCAAGGCTTGAAATCAGTGCTAAGGTCCACTTGCTGAGCCCAAAGGGACTGGAACCAAAATGTGGATGTAGCCCAAAAGGTGAAGGACATGAATTGGGTAATAAAAATGCAAGGGAGCCCACAGGTCAAAGAACCCATGAATTTAACCGAACTTTAATCAAACCAGAACCCTTCCTTACGAGATTGGAGACGGTTAGGGAACAATGGACCACGCCACGCAAGTTCACCACTGAACGCATGCCAGATAAGGAGAAGGAACAGCTGAAAACTGTGACGTTGGAAGAGCACACCAACACTTCCCCAACTCCCACCTTGAGGACAAGGTGGATTTGGAAACCTAGGGTAATGATAAGATCCAATCCACCTCGCTTATTCTAGAAGGGAATAGAAGAATTAGGGTGCGGTTGGTTTGCCGTTTTTGGGCCATTTTCCATTTTCGAAAACGCGGAAAACGCGTTTTGTCCGTCGTTTTCGAAAATGCATTTTCGAAAACAAGTTAAAATTTATAACTGAAAACGCTAAACGACTTTTTATCATTTTCGAAAACAAGTTAAAATTTATAACTAAAAACGCTAAACGACTTTTTATCATTTTGAGCGTTTTCAATTATAAATTGTCAAAACGCTCAAAACGCGGAAAACGGGCCGTTTTCGAAGAAAACTAAAAATCGTTTTGAAAATGAAAATGGAAAATGAAAATGCAAACAAACCGCTACCTTAGCATCCAAGTGGGGAGAGGGAAAACTGAAATCTGTTAGAATAGATCTATAAAAAAGGTAGAAGCTAGCAATAGAGGGGGCGAAATACGTAGTGAAGTGAGGAGAATCAGCCCTGTAGTCAGTACTTGTTTTTTTTTGCAATATAATCAAAACTTCCATTAATCTCTGTTCTTATTTTCTTCCAGCAGAACCCTATCAGTAGCTTTCTCTTGAAGCTCTTTTAAGAGAAAACTGAAGCAGAAGCCTTGCCAAACGGTCTATAAGAATACTCTAAAGTAAAAGCATCAACCACAACAATAAATTAAGCTTATACCGTAGTCAGCATGCAGTTGGAAGTAGTTTGCAATGCACCATTTACCAGTTTCAACCACAAGCATCACCATTTGTCTATAAAAACATATAATATATCTATCTGATAAACAGGCTTTACAGATGACATAAACCTGACATCTGTGAATTTCTGGGGGTCATCGCTATAGCAAATCCAAATGGGATATCATCTGAAAGATTCTATACTGTTATTTTTGTTCCTTGCAATTTAATCCCAACTATCTAACACAGGGATTGTAATTGCATTCTCTCTTCCCTGAAGCTCACTGTCCATCGACATGAAAATATTTCAAACTAGTTCAATCAAGAAAAATAGTTATGTTTTTCAGGATCAATGACAAGGGCCGTCATGAGTAACACGTCTATGTTTGACCCCCATTTCTTAAAAAAAAAAAATTTCCCCAAACCCATTTTCAATCACACATTTCATGGACCCCCACAACTTTTTAATCACACATTTCATCAACTTTTATCAAAATTTACCGAAAATCTAATTGTATTCAAACGAAAGTTATATTATTCCATTAGTAATGAATGAACAATTTGGGGGCGAGTTGGTACAAATAAATCAATTTTTGTAAGAACATCATAAACCATAAACGTATTGGAAACACAGAGCCAGAAAAAAAATTTGTAACAACAAAAACACTGAAAAGGCGTAAATATGAGTAATGCAATTTGGTCCCATTGTGGTTACAACTCCAGTCTAGGTGGCACTAACGTGACATTAAATAATAAGTAAAATTAAATGACCATTCATTTAACCTATCATCCACAGCTATCTAGACTGAAATTGCAACCTCAGTGGGCTACATAGCGTTACTTCATAAATATTGCAGGTAGTATAGTGCCTCGTGGAAATTGGAAAGAATAATGAATAATTCAACCTGTTGTAACTAAGCAGATTGCTTCAATAAGTGTGCATAATAGCACTGATACTTTCTATATCTTCAGCCATCACGAGCCACCTTTTCCAAATCTACCAAATCATAGTCGAATTATGAAAAAGATAACAAAAGTTCTGAAATCTCAATGACTTACTATATCTAACAGTTCATACTCCATTCCAGTAGTAAAAGCATGCTGGGAATGGTTATATGCCTGGTCTGGTGATTCTCTGATCTAATCAGAAGGAAGCTCTCCCTTTGTTTCAGATCAAAAGGAGCGTCCCGAACCTATCAAGTGGATGGCAAGCTCTAAAGAACACAATGCCAAAGCCATAAAATGTCCGTCTACTGACTATTATCACAAAATAAGGGGAAGCACATGTAAGAAACAATTTCTCAGGTTGCAGAGATAACTGTCATAGAATCAACTGAGATTTGCCAGCATATAATAAGCTTAAATGACAGATGAATTTCAAGAAAGACTTGAGCAATTGACTCGTTTAATAACCTGGTAGTGATCCTTAGAACGACATCCAGATATGTTTCTACACATTACTGCTTGAAAGAAGTCGCTATTAAAGAGAACTTCTAAACACCTACCTGTTTTACATCAAATGCAAATTAGAAGTTGTGCTGTAAGAACAAGAGTTCTGGTGGAGATGCAGGCCCAATTTCTTCATCTAGACTTCTCAATCCATCGCCAAGACTGGTGCCATTCCCCAAATTTCTTGTTTCCAAGTTCTTTACATCGGCATCTGAATCCGAAAGGGACGATCTCCTTCTCTGGGAAGATGCAACACTTGGAAAAGTTATCCATGAAGGAGCTCTTAATTCAAATCTTTGATCCT